CTTATGAATCAGTGAATTGGGAGTTCCTATTCCACATTATGACATTTGTGTTTGGTCAAAATGGATAAATTAGGTGTGTGGGTGCTTGCAGTCGGCTAAGGATTTTGTTTTGGTTAATGGAAATCCCTTTAAGGAACTCATGATGGGCAGAGGTCTTCGGCATGGGGACCTCTCACAGTTTCTTTTTAGTATGGTGTTGGAAGACCTTCATTCAACAGTTTTGGATAAGGTTCAGAAAGGTTTGTTCAGGGGATTAAGATTGGATCCATTTTACTCACCCATTTTTTATGCAAATGATGTGCTCTTTCTAGATGACTGGTCTCGAAAAAAATTAACTGCTTAGTTACTCTTTTAGACTGTTTTTATTGTGTTTTTGGCCTTAAACGTAATTTACATAAGTCTAATCTATATGGGGTGGTAGTGGATTTTCAGGATGTTCCAGATTTAACAGGGGTTACGGGATGTGTTTCGGTAAAGAATTTGTTTTGTTTTTATACCTTGGACTTCCAGTGGGATCAAGTATGGCTAGAGTAAAAGGGTGGACGCCGATCGTGGAGGGATTCAAGAAGAAACTTTCTATTTGGAAAACGAGTATGCCTTCTCAGATGAAAAATCTCTTGGAGTCTCTTTGTGTAAAAAAAAATAGGGGTGTGATTAAAAGAGTAAGAAAATATTGTGGGTGAACTGGAATCTCACTTTGTCGTCTAAAGAAAAAGGTGGCCTTGATATAGGGAGTTTGGAAATGTTAAATCATGCTCTAATTCAAAAATGGAGATGGCGTTTCGTTAATGGCCGAATTTCGTTATGGGTCAAAGTGATATCTGAGTTGCACAAGTATCAAGGAAGTGATATTTTTTCTAATCATTTACAGTTTCGTTCGGGGGTGTAGGATCAGATCATCAGGTCGATAAATATGATGCGTGAAAGTGGAATTATTCCTTATAGTTCCATCCGAAAACGAGTTGGAGATGGGAGAAATACTAAATTTTAAGAGGAGGTTTGGATTGGAGAGGAACTTTTGAAAGTACAATTTTCTAGATTTTATATGTTAGATAAAAAAAAACGTGATTGTTTGATTGCGGATAGGTGGAACAGAAATTAGACTTGGTATTGGAGTAGATCTATTACAAGAGGAAGATTAACATGTCATTTGGATGATCTTATTAGCATGTATGGAACTATTCAGAATACTTCTCAAAAGGATGTTTGGTCTTAAGAGATGGGAGGGCAAATGGAGTTTACGATTAACGAAATTCGTTATGTTATTGATGATACTTACTTGTCGGATGGATTGAAGTCTACTAGATGGAACCAGTATATCCCTAGAAAGGTAAATATCTTCCTTTGGCATGCTTTAATTGATCATTTACCAACCCGATGGAACTTGAGTCGAATAGGAATTAATATAGTGTCTTTAGCATGTCCTGTTTGTATGAATCATGTGGAGTCGACTGATCAAATGTGATTTGGCGATGACTATATGCCAAAGGGTTTTTCGTTGGGTGGATGTTGTGTTGTCGTGTATGGATACTTTACATGATCTTTTTACTTGGCTTTGAAGCTTTCTCAATTATTATGCATAAGAAGGAAGTGTTAGATTCGGTTATTTGTATGACGTTATGGCTGATCTGAAGATATCGGAATGGTGTGTTATTTGGAGATTCAATGTCAATTAAAGCTTTACTTTTTTATAACATAGTTGATTTTCATATAATTGGTTTTTGTATAGAAAAAATGAGATTAAAGCCAGTTGGGTTGAGTGGTTTCAAAACCTATTCTAGTTATCCTATGTAATTTTCTAGTCTCTTTGTTTTGTAATAAAATATTGTTCTTTTAAAAAATAACATCAAATGATACATATCAATAAAATGAGTTGGAATATCCTATGTGTAGTTGCTCTAGGTATTTGAGATAAATATATTGATGGAGCAGTTTACTATATATTAAAAAAAATATGTAAATATCTTCACTTTTTTGCAATCAACTTCTTAATATAAAATTACTATATTTAATAAGATGTTAAAACTATACGCTCATTTGAAGCATTTTCAATTAAAATTTTCAATTTCATTGGTATAATTGGTTATAAACATAATACAAATTAGAGTAATTTTTAATTAACATATGGGTAAAAGAAAATGTTTGGAATATTCTTATATACTGACTTTGTTGTCAAAAGAGAGATCATAGTGAGACGTTTCAACATTGTGGAGAATATTTCTTTTACATGTCATTTATGCAATTTCACATTTGTTAGCAAGTTAGTTATTATTAAATAATTTTTTTTAGGAGCTAACTTAGCATCTAACAACCAACTAATTTTTATAGTGTTGTCAAATATGTACCATGCAGAACCAACTAACATGTTACCAACCGAACAAAAAAGTTACCAATATGTTTGGTAGCCAACATGTTTGATTGGTAATACTATACCAATTCAGTAAATTTTATACGGTAATGGTATTACATTTTAAATGGCACGGTTAAAATTTAAATGCATGATATTAACCATTAGGCGTAGTAAATAGTTATTACCACATTAAATTTAATGAGTGAAAAGTTTTTTTTAATGAGTGAAAAGTTATTTCAAAGTTACTTAACAAAATTATTTAGTAACTAAAATAGTAACTTTACTAATTCATATTACTAGACAAGAAAATTGTCTCATATCGTTGACTGTCTTTAACTATTACAATTGAACTTGTTGGTAGCCAAACACGTTCGTACCAAGTATACTTGTACTTGTAGCAAAAATTATATATCAATTATAATTGATACGTTACACGGTTTGACTATAAAATAAATTGGTACTGTAAATTAGTACTATACCATGCTCAGCCCCAATAAGGCTATGTTCGACGTAGTAACTAAAAAACTATCTGATAGCTGAAAAATTAATTGTTAGCTAAAAAGTTAGCTGATAAAAACAACATTTGGCAAAAACGAGGTGAAATATATAAAATCACTTAAAAAGACATTTAGTAAAGTATGTTTTCTATAATTAATTAGGGATATATTTGACATTTTTTTTAAAAAAAAATCTAAAAAGCTATCTAAATAGTTTTTTTAAGAACTAGCTTATAAGCTATTTTTTGACTTGCCAAACATAACAATATAAAAAAAGCTTGAAAAATAAGCTAATTTTGACTCGCCAAACATAACGTAACACTAATAATCCAAAATTGCAATAATTTATGCAAATAAACATAAAAAGTTTGAAAACGATTCCCCGATGCTTTTATTAGGAGTGACGATTCTCGACCCAACCCGTAGCTCGACACGAACCCAACACGAAAATAAACGGGTTTGGGTTGAGCCCACAAACCCATTTATTTTATGGGTTGGGTTAGCTATTTGGGTTCGCGGGTCAACCCACCAACCCGACTATATATTGTACTATTTAAAAAAACTAAAATTCTATCTATAAATCAATGGAATATTCGACACAATTGCACTTTGATTGAATGTTTTCAATTTCATTTGAATGTTTGTGAGTTTATGACTTTACGTTGGAAACCTGTTTTTTTTTCCAAATTCGTGTTTATTGAATTATTATGTTAGATTCGTATTTGGTTGTTCATTTCATTCTAACAAATGTAAAATGTTAATTATTAATTAATTTAGAGACATGATTCATATAAATTTAACATGTGAAAAATAACCCAAAAATGACTGTGAAAAATAACCCAAAAATGACTGACTGACCCGCGAACTTATATACTTAAACGGATTATGTGGGTTGGGTTGAGTTGATGTTTCCAACCTGCCAACCCACCAACTCATATATTATATAGGTTGGGTTGGATCAATCTATTATGACCCATGACCCGACAACCCGAACCCAACTGTCAGACCTAATATATATATATATATATATATATATATATATATATATATATCATCACAAACAGATAGTATTAATATGAATTTTAGATATGCAACAATGATCAATATAACTTTTTTCAGGTTATATATAAAACCAAAAATCATAACTTCATGGCACAAATTAAATTAAATATATACTCACCCTGTTCAAAGAGAATCCACAAATTGACCAGACATGAGTGGCTTTTAATTAACAATCGGAATAATTAAAATACTCTTCAACGAATTAAAATTGAAAAACTACGAACACGATTCAATTTCACCAAAAGAGAAATAATATATTTTCTTGATATTTATTTGGTTTGGGATGATATTATTTTAGGAAAGCCAACTAACACAATAAATTGGATCTTAGTATGGTGGGGTAGAAGTTAAAGAAAGGGCAACTACTACCATAACTTAAAAGCAAAGAAGGGCATGTCTCCATGTGGGTCATGTAGGGGCAATATTGTAATTTAGCTGCTTTTAAGGGTAAGGGTCATGTAATTTGGCCACTCATCAAAGGCATATTGGCACATGAAAGCAGAGTACCTTATCCAATTTGAACATTTGTTCACAAAGTTGACTGCTTCCATACAAATATAATTGATAATTCTGATGTGATCCATAACATAACATATAGAGTGTTTATTACGCATATTATGATCACATATCAAGAAAAAAAAAAATTGATGTTGAATCACGTAAGGAATCGAATTAGATTGGAAAACAGACAATTAAGCAATCAAATCAAGTTGGGAATTGATCTTTATACAAGTAAGAACAACAAAATGATATAATTTGAGGACTTTTTCATGTAATTCGTGTTACAAACAGAAGGCAAAAAGGAGATTGTTTTTTCTCCCCTATCAAACTGCCTTAATCAAGAACAACTATGCAAATTTGCAATAAAGCAGAATTTTGGAAAAGAAACAGGAAGAAACCGTTTTTCCTTTTTGCCAATTCAAATGATCATATTTTGATGCAATCGAATCGAATTATGTTCTTTGCTTTTTCTTTATACCAATTTCTCTTTAGGCCTTTTTGAGAATTGTAAACTAATTGAAAATTTTAAAGGCATATCAGATGAAGAACAATTGAACAGAGAATTCGCACCAGTGTTATCTTTTTGGTTGTCAATGAGCTGTAACTTTCGATCTCTTCTTTGCTTCACTGTAAAGAACCACTCCCATTATTGTCACGGCGAACCCTGAAATTCCCATAACATTCACCGGATTCTTAAAAATTAAAACAGACACCACCGCCGCTACTGCCGCCTTGGCGTTTCCGAGCACCTGCAAAGTCAGGGCACTCGTGTGTTTTGTGACCAGAAAGTTCGTCAAGTTCACCAAATACGCCACCGTAGCATTTCCAATCAACAAAAACACCATAAACGAATCGTTTCTCGCTTTATCAATTGTCTTTGAGAACACGTTTCCTTCTATGTACAAAGTGAGAGGTAATAATATCATGGCTGCCATTGGCGCCATATACAATAATAGGTTCATCGAATGGAGCTTCTCCGAATCTGAAGTCAACAATAACCCTTGCACCACCGATTTCAACGCTCTGCCGGCGGTCGATCCCACACACATCAAAAAACCAAACAAATGAAACAAAGGCTCGCTATTACTCGCCAAAACTATACCGAAAACGACAGGCATTAACGCTAAGTAAACTTCAGCAGATTCCTTCTTACATGTAATCAGGAAAGCGAAGATAGCTGTGAAAAAAGGCGTAGTTGCGCCAATAGCTTGATTAAACGAAACAGGTAGATATCTCAATGACGTATTTCCACAAACAACCGAAAAGCAAAAAATAGCAGATAAGGCGAAGATCTTCAGAAATTGTTTTCGCGATAAAATCTGTTGGAACGGCACGACTTGAAACCAACGAATTGCGATGAGACTGTAGAAAGTACATGAGATCATATGAAGCATTGTGAGGAAGATCGGATATTTATACCCGTAGAAGCTCAGGAGGTACTTATTGAGAAGGAGAACGCCGATGTTGGATAGGTACCATGACGCGATAATGAGTGCAGTGAGGATAGTCGGAGATACGAATGATGTGGCGGAGAAGGAGGCGAAGATGTTGTTCGTGGTGCCGTATCTAACTTCTCCGGTCGGTGTGGAGGGGATGTCCACGGAGGTTTCGAACCTAGGGTTGCTGCTCCGGCGAGTTGTCCATGACTGTGCCTCCACCATTTGGGGGCAATATTGTAATTTACACACAGTGAAACGTGTTTTTGTGTGTGAGAGAGAAAGGGACACTGCGTGTGACTCCGACTTTGGATTGGATCCAGGAAATTTGAGAGTTTGAGCGAAGATGACTATGATAAGACTGATGAAAGTTTCAAAAAAGCCCCCTAATGTTTAGACTTATTTCTTTTTACGTCCTTCATTTCTAATTTGTATCAAGTGTATCTTGCTTTTACAATACTACTTTATAAAGTATTTCATTAAATTTATCTTATATAATTATTTTCCCATCAAATGAATATTATAGTTACACAAAACCATAAGATACAATATACCATTTGATTTCATAAATATCGTATCGCATTTTATATTGTTTTGTGAATTAGTTATCAAATCTATGAATATTTTGAAAATGTGTCAACGGATTTTGAGAGCTTCTAGCACTTTTATCAAAAAGTTCAATTTAAAACAATATATATATATATATATATATATATATATATATATATATATTCGAAAATACGAGTTTTACCTTTGAGTGTAAAAAAAATATTTTAAATCTAAAATCTACGTATGTAGCGTTTAAAAACAAACTATTGTGTTTTTTTAATTAATTTCCAGAACTGCTATTAATAATATTAATATAATCACTTTTAATTGTCATTTTATATAATTTTATATATTTCAAAATTTTTAACTGTTTTTGTCAAATGTTAATATAATAAATAATAGTTATAGTTTCCGATTTCCACTATCTACCTACGAATTAACAACTTTCAGCTAATTTTATCAAATAAATTCTTTATATTCATGTTATTTATAAAATAATCATCCAGTTTATAGTTTAGATATCAAAGTTATTTAAAACAATTATTTATTAAAGTGGAGTAGGTTAGATTTATATGATCCTATGAGTATTGGTTAGGAGAGTATAAATAATATTAAAATATTTATACAATATAATTTAATACTTTATAATATTTAAATAACTGTAATCATAAAATTGATAAAATAGATTTTGCCCATATAATGAGGGACTTATTATGGAGATTTATACTTGGATCTGATCGGACGGACAAAAGTTAGGAGAGAGGATAAGGAGGAAAGTGAGTCGTTAGATGAAGTGAAATAATTATTAGATCTAGAGAAAGTGTCGGTATTTGAAGAAATAAAACTGTGACTTATTCGGTCAGAGTGCAGGCTTTGACTATAGAATTATTTTTTTCTCAATTTTTCAATGTTGGTGAAAATTTCAAAACGTGATGTACGCACGTGTGAGTAAATTAATGACGTGAAATTTCACTAAAAGCAAATTAATTTTAACAATCGTTTTTGTTGCATAAAATGTTGATTATGCCAAAATTAATCAATTTAGACAATTTTTATATCGATCAAAAATGTCTAGTTTACATTGGTATTTTTAATGTTGTTTCTTTTTATTTTCGATTCTTTTTAGTTGCCACTTTCTAATATATTTGTGCCACGAAGGAAAAGTAAAATAAAAAAGTTAACATTTAATTGTTGTGTTATTAGGGATAACTGTTGATATAGAAGTCTAAACAAACTCACCTAGTTTATTGTAGTTTGTAAATATACGTTCAGAAGTAGAATGCAAGTAACGAAAAATATCTAAATAATCAAACAGCTGAAGTAATGTTGACATGTGAAGAAGGTGCGCTAGCTAGAGAAAAATGGAAGTTAAAAAATGTAGATACTTTTGTTGGGCTTGCGTTTTCCGTCTTAAGAGTGCGATGGTGAAAGTCTTTATTAGGTCCGGCAATTGGGTTGAGGTCGGGTTGGCGGATCAGGGGATGATGGGTCAGAATATATTGATCAAACCCAACTCATATAATATATGGGTTGACAGGTTGGAAACATCAATCCAACTCAATCCATATAACCCGTTTAAACATATGGGTTCGTAAGTTATGAGTTGATTATAACCCGTTTAAGTATATGGGTTCGTAAGTTATGAGTCGATTCAAGTCAAAGAGTCGACGAATCATTTTTGGATAACTTTTCACATGTTAAATTTATATGAATTATACACGTCTCTTAATTAATTAATAATTAGCATTTTACATTGACTAAAATTAAATGAACAACCAAATATACGTCTCTCACGTCTGGAACTCTTGGTCGAGAATTGGATTTGGGGTTAGGAGTGTTAAGACTTAGTCACTTAGGGCACACCGTATATTGACTATATTCCATTAATTCCTAAATAAAATTTTAATTTTTTTAAATATAATAAATACAATCGGGTTCGCGGGTTAACCCGTAAACACAAACATTTAACCCAACCCAACCCATGAAATTAACGGGTTGGCGGGTTGACGTGTCAACGGGTCAGAAATTTCAACTCAAACTCGTTTATTTTTGTGTCAAGTTCGTGTTAGGTTACGCGTTGGGTCGAGAATTATCACTCCTAGTCTTTGCAAGCATTTAATTTCCATAAGGAGGTTTTATGCGATCAGATCCTCCATTTCCATGAACATTTTTATATAAATTGGCATTGGAAGAATTTGGAATGGGACTCAATGGACAAGGGGGAAACATAACTACATAAGTTTTGAATGGAACATAGTTTTCGTCGGATAAGATCAATCCATAAACTCAAATGTGATAGTTTCCAAAGGGCTACTTTGATGTTCTTCATCAAGTTCTTCGTTTGGATGATCTTGAAGAATATGTGTTGCTTTCACACCTAAGTGCTCCTATTTCTTTTTTACAATATTCAGCGAATCCAAAGATAATATTGACTAATACGATAGTTCTTTGGGGACACTTCTTCTTCCTCCCTGATTTCCTTCCTTGTTTTTATTAGCAGGTGTGGAGTATCAGCACTCTTCGATGAAAGAAGATGTGAAGTGATAATGTCTTTGAACGTAGATTTTTTTAGACGGTGGCAGTGGATGGGCTTGTATGTCCTCAACAATCTTTTGAGGTGAAGGAGAAGGATTATAAGCATGAGCTATTGATTCTATGTGAAGAGGGGATTTCTTATGAAATGTATTCAATGATGGGTGAGTTTCTTACTCCTTATGTAAGTCCTGAATCTTTGATGGTAGACAATGTAACCTTCGGGTATAAGAGAAATTTTTTGAAGTGAATGGGAATCTTCGACAAAAGATAGATCAGTTGTGCCTTTCACTTTATAATAATCAAATTTCAGTGATGTGAGAATCAATATTGTAAAGCATCAAAAAGTTTTTTTGCCAGTATCACAGTTTTTTGTGACAAACATTGCACCTTTTTTGTGTTTTGAAATGTATTCGGAAGCTGAAGAGCTTGAGACATTTTTTTGTTAAAAAAGAATTTATCAAATTTATCCTATATGTCTTTTGCAGTGCAATTTTCACTATTTGTAAGAAATGGAATGTTAGTCTTCATCATCATCATCGGTAGCATGTGATCATGTGACCCATAAACTTTGGCTCTTTTACAGATAGTGGGTGTGGGTGTGTGTGTGTGTGTGTGAGAGGGAGAGAGAGACGCCAAGCTTTATATTTTGATCCATCAGTGGACAGTTTGAAATTGAAACATAGATAAATATTGGTAATGGAATTAAAAAAAAGTAATATGGGAATGTAGAGTAGTGGAATAGTTGATGAAAGAGTTCATTTTAATGATCATGGAAAATGTATAAAAAACAAATAAAAATCAGAACAAAAACAAGAATAAGCTAATTGCTCTACCTCCAATTGTGAACACATAACCTGTTGTACTCTTTCCTGAATCTGCACATCCACCTAAGTCTGCATCAGTGAACCCTTCTAAGACTACTCCTTTTCATTTGAAACATAAGGATAGTCAGTTGTTCCTTTTAAGTAGCATAGAAACCATTTCTCTCCTTCCCAATGTTGTCTTCCTGGATTTGACATAAACCTACTCACAACTCCCACTGCATGAGCAATGTCAAGTCTGGTGCAAACCATTGCATACATTAAACTACCAACTATAGATGTGTAAGGAACTTTAGCCATGTATTATCTATCTTCTTTCATTTTGTGGATTGCGTCTTGGTGAGTCTCAACTTACTCGCAATGGTGTACTTCTGGCTTTCGCATCTGTCATGTTGAACTTTTCTAAAACTTTCTTGATGTATTTAGCTTGTAAAAATTTTAGTATACCGGTAACCTTGCCACTGGCTATGCTCATGGCCAATATTTGTTTAGCATCCCCTAAGTCCTTCATCTCAAACTCACTGGCCAGCTTCTTTTTTAGCTTGTTAATCTCCTGCATGTCGGATCCAACAATCAACATGTCATCAACATATAACAATAGGATGATATAAGAGGACTTGAATTTCTTCAAATATCAGCAGTGATCCATCTGACATATGTTATACCCATTCCTCTACATGAACCTATCAAACTTCAAGTACCATTGCCTTGGAGCCTACTTCAAACCATACAGACTTTTCTTTAGTTTGCACACCAGATTTTCCTTGACAACTGTGGGAAAACCTTCTGGTTGTGCCATGTAGATGTCTTCTTCAAGGTCGCCATGGAGAAAAGCTATTTTCACATCTAGTTTCTCTAGATGGAAATCTTCAAAGGCCACAATTCCCAAAACCATTCTAATTGTAGTCATCTTCAAAACTGGAGAAAATATTTCATTATAATCAACCCTCTATTTTGTTGGAACCCCTTAACTACCAAACTTGCTTTGTATCTCTTGGTGCCATTAATCTCATCCTCAACCCAAAACACCCACTTGTTTTGTAGTGCTTTCTTCCGTGCTAGGAGCTTGACCAATGACCAAGTGTGATTCTTGTCAAGTGACCTCAATTCTTCTTCCATAGCCTTCTTCCATTGTATGGATTCTTTCATCCTCAAGGCATCTAATAAGACTTAGGTTCACCATTCTCTGTCAGCAACAAGAAGTTTGCTGAAGGAGAATACATGACCAGAGGCCTTCGTACTCTAGTGGATCTATGGATAGTAGGAGTTTCAGTTTCTACACCTACATTTTCTGAACTACTATCATCCATACTCCCACTA